CTACAAGTGTTTCCAGAAGAGATTAGCATTTGAATCAACCTAGTAAAGCTCCAGGGTTGGACAGACATTTTCCAGTCTTTCGTCTGCCATCTTGTAGCTGGAGCTGGGGTACCCATCTTTTCCTGTCCTCGTCTAGGACTTATACCATCAGTTCTCCTGGTTCGCAGGCCTTTGGTCTCAGATTGGACCCACACCACCAGGTTTTCTGGATTTCCAGTTTGCAGGGGCAGGTTGTAACAGATTCTCAGCCACCATAATTGTGCCAAACAATTCCTTATAATAAGGAATTGGTTCTGTTTCTCTGAGAACACTGACCAATATGCCTAACTGACTGGGCTAGTCCTCCCAACACCCTCAACCTTCGTTCTGCTTTCTCCCATAACCTGTTTTGGGTCCTTGGGAACCAGTTTCTAGTTGCCACAGTCTGAAATGACTTTGCTATTTATTTGTTATATGTTTCTTTTTTCTTTCCTATTTTTTTTTTTTGGTGGTATGGGTTTGAACTCAGAGCTTTGCACTTGTGAGGCAGGCTGACCTTTTCTTGAGCCACATTTCTAGCACTTTTTGCTAGATAGAGTCTTGATTTTTTGCCTATGTTGGCCTGGACTGAGATCCTCCTATTTTATGCTTCCTACAATAGCTAGTGTGCCACCTTGCCTAGCTTTTTTCTATTGAGATGGAGTCTCATGAACTTTTTTTTGCCTGGGCTGGCTTGGAACTGCAGTCCTCCTGATCTCAGCCTCCCTTGTAGCTGGAATGACAGGAACATGCCACTGTGCCCAGTTATTGGTTGAGATGGAGGTCTTGTTAACTTTTTCCCCAGACTGACTTGGAACCCCAGTCATCCTGATCTCAGTCTCCCAAGTAGCTAGAATTACAGGTGTGAACCACTGGCACCCAGCTTGTTCATGGGTTTCTTTTTTTTTCCAGTACTGGGGCTTGAACTCAGGGCCTTCACATTGAGCTGCTTTACTAGCTCTACTTTTTTTGTAAAGGGTTTTTCGAGATAAGGTCTCGCCAATTATTTGCCCAGGCTGGCTTCGAACTGTGATCTCTGCCTCCTGAGTAGCTAGGATTACAGGCGAGAATCAGTGGCACCCAGCTTGTTCATGTGTTTCTTAACCACCTGAATGGAAGCCCCAAGAGGGCAGCTACCTTGTCTCTTGTACACTCGGTATGTTCAGTCCCTAGCAAAGTATCTGGCTGATGTGATGGTCCCCAACTTACAGTGGGTCAAGTTAATGATTTTTCAATTTTACTTTGGTGTGACACCAGTCATATAGCTACTATACTTTGAATTTTGGTCTTTTTCTAGTGAAGCTGGGCTCCCTGCGAGCCATGTGCGTGCGATGGGAAACAGCCAAGACTCCACAATGTTGCATTGCTGTGCTATGATGCTCAGAAGGCTAGATCCATTTCGACTTAGGATATTTTAGAATTAGGATGGGTTCATCAGGTTGTAACCCCATCATAAATCTAGGAGTATTGGCATTAGATAATCGATTCATACTTGTTGAACAAATGAATCACTGATTTCCCAGGGGGAAATGGGCTGATAAATTAAGTGACTTAATGAAAGAAAGTACTTGTGAATAGCTAAGCTTCACCCTGAAAGTCTCAGGCCACCCAGCGATTTTCTTATAACCCTGCGAAGAGCAAAATGACTTCACTTTGTCTTCCTGGTAAGTGAGAGCCGTGGGGCTAAAGAACCTAAGAATCTCAGACTTGGAAGGGGCTTGGCAGTGAATTGGTTCAACCCTTCTTTCTGAGACGTGTGTTTCTTTGATGTCCTAGGATGCCTGATTGCTGTCTTCTACTTGAAGGTTCCTGGAAACTGAGGAATGATTGTGTTGCTGGGGTAGTCAATGTGTTTAAACAACCCCAGTTGTTTGAAATGTATCCTCTTGTCATGATCTTTGCACTTCCCTGTGGGGCCACATAGACTGCATCTTCCATAAAGATGTCCCGTGCCACACAGTCACAATAACCAGCATTCCCTTACTTCCTTCTCTGCTGTTCATGAAAAAAGCAGGTACTTTGAAGACCTGGCTTCAAACTCCCTCTCACTTACTGATCTTGGAAAGTTACCCTCAGCTCTCCACAGCTTCTCTAGCCAGTGCCTGGCATTTCACGTAAACCCTTCTCCTTCTCTTCCTCCTTTTCCTTCCTCTCCTTCTCCTCCTCTTCCTTCTTCTCTCCCTCCCACTCCTCCTCCTCCCCATCCCCCTCATCCCCCTCTCCCTCCCCTCCTCCTCCTCCTCATTATTATTATTATTACATGGTTTTAACTCTTCAAAACATTTCAGTTAAATTTTCATGGCTCTATTCTGCGAGTTATTGTCCTTCTTGCAAATGTGTCACTTAACACTGAACATGCTGCTGACTGATAAGACTTAAGTGGAGTAGTGTTATTTCTTTTAATGCTACCTAAACCACATTAGCTTTTTAGAAGCTATAATGCATCACAGACTCATAGTAAGCAGAACATCCTCCAAATTTTCTCACATATAACTGCTAAAGCAGCTTACAGTTGAATCCTGCTACATTATTTCCAGTATTTTTAAGTTTTTGCTTATATGTGGGCTGGGGTGTGACTCACTTGCTTAGCATGTGCAAGGCCCAGGTTTGATCCCCAGCACTGCAAAAAAAATCTGAAGTTTTTTACTTATATTTCTTTTAAGGGATAGCGAGGCAGGCTAGAATTAGGGAAAGTTCGGGACTCTTAGAAAATATATGACTTAATATTATATTTCAGATTGAACATTCCTCTCTTTCTCTAGCCTTCTTTTCAATTGCAAATGTGAGTAGCTTTAGGATCACCCATGCCCCTCCCAACTCATGATTATTGGTTGGGAATCACCAGGTTCTTCCCTTCCCATAGGTTAGCATAAGTTTTAAAAGCACCTGGAAAAGAGAAAGACGCTCTCTGCGTCCAGTTTCCAGCTTCCAAATGGTCCCATCATGTCCCCTTTTGCATTTCCCTTCCCTAACTTTTAATAAACTCCATTACACCCACGTGTCCTGCCATGGATTCTTCCACATGGGACACAAAGAATTTGGAAATCTGATCACAGACTGCACCATTGCCATTAACAATAGTTCATCCATGCTTCATAAGGATTGACATCTTGGAGCTAATGAATACTCTATAATTTCTCAGCAATTTTACATCTGCAATCACATCACTTTTTGGTGTGGGGATGGACCTCAGGGCCTCTTAAATGCTGAGCATGTGCTCTACCCCTGAGCTCCATCCCCAGCTGCAATCACATTTGATCCTCAGAATAAGCCTGAGAGGAATACACTCTCCTCTCGTTGATGGAAATGAGGGGTGGGGAGGGCAGGATGTGACTTGCGCCTAGCCACCCATCTGGTAAGATGTACAGGCCTGAAGTCAGGTCTCTTAGGACGCCAGTCTAGCCTTCTTTTGAAGAAGGGAACCAGATAATGAGCTCTCAGTTGGGTGGGAATAATAAAGAAAGGTTTTCTGAAAAGGTGAGTATTGAGTGGGGTTTATAAGAAGGGAACAAGCACATGATTAAAAAATGGGGGAAATGTGGGAGAGGTGAGGCAGGAAAGGTCTCTGAAGGCTAATTGGCTTGGACAGATTGGGACCCTGAGCCAAGGCAGCAGTCCCTGAGGAAGTCACTTTGTGACTCTCACCTGCTGGAACCCCATCCTCAGAGATCCTGTCAGTAGGTTTGGGTGGCTCTCTGTAGTATTTTCACTTGTAAATCCTTTTGTTTTGTTCTGAGACAGGGTCTCACTATTGTAGGCCAGGTTGCCCTGGACCTTGAGTCTCTGCTGCCTCAGTCTCCCTGGGATCGTAGGCATATATTACCATACTCAGCCCCTCTACCTATTCCTCTGATGTACAGCCAAAGTTGCAAACTACAATATAGGGCTGGAGAGTTAGTGAACTCAACTGGAGAGACTGGTCAAGGAGTCCTCATAGTGGAAGAATGAGTTAGGCAAGTATCATTGGGAAGGGAGAGAAGGCAGGCAAAGGGACGATAGCTCTGAGCTCTCGAGGTACAGTCGTGCTGGGTGGGAACTGCAGGAGGGAATGTGTTTTTAAGCCTTTATGATGGATCAGATAGCTCTGAATCAGGACTCACCCACCTCCTCTTTCTAAGCTGGCTCTTTAGTCATCAATCTAAGCAGGATTCCATCAGCACCCCCCACTTACTTCGCCCTCAGTACATTTTTATCTGAAAAGGTTTCTGGGGTGCCCCCTACATCCTCTTCTCCTTCTGCTGCTGCTGGTTTCCCCATCCCACGTTTGCCCTTCTTGGGCTGTCAGAAGTGTCGCAAACACCGTGGACACTCACTTTAGAGTTTCATAATCTTTATTTTCAATCTTCCAGACAAGATTGCTCTTTCCTGTGCTAGTCAGTTTCAATCTCAGATTGATGGGTACCAAAAGCCACATCCTGGCCTGAGTGGGGTGCAGTGGAGGATAAAGAGGAGACCCCATACTTCAGGCAACTCCCAGTTTAATGGAGGGGACAAGATACCATGGGATAATGAATGGAGTACACTTACAAAGCCTCACATCACACTGATACAATGAACCCCATATCATTAGAGATCTAAGCCCCCAGTCCTCCCCTATTTTGTCCCCCGGGCTCAGAACCTTTTGAAATTTCTTCTCTCTCATTTGCTGTTTCTTTTCCATCTCTTTCTGTTGCCTTCCTTCCATGAAAACAGCCAGACCCATGCCTAGCAGTGTAGCAAGATTGCTTTAAGACTTTGTATCTCACAAGGACTGAATTCATAGTAGCTACCTTGCTTTCAAGACCCTGCCTGATGATGCTTCTAGGCCTACCCATTTCTTGTTGCATCCTTGAGCTATACTCATTAGGAAGGGAAAATTCAGTCAGGCAGGGATACCAAGCTGGCAAGAGAGGTTTTTTAAACCAAGTCCCAGTCATGGATCATGTCTAAGGATGTCTGTATCTGGGAGCTTCCCTCTCCCAGGGAACACAATTTCCTCCAGGGAAATCTCTAGTCAGTGGTGAAGTCCGAACTTGGCATCCCCTCTCCTTGATTCATGCCCCTGTCCCCAGTAGTCACCTCTGCTGTCTCTTTGACTCTGCGTCCCAGCAGGGAGGAGCCCCGGCTGCGCAACAGCCTCAGCCCTTGCCCAAAAGCTCTGCGCATCACTGAGGAAGAGAAATAGAACAGCAGTGGGTCCAGAGAGGCATTGAGCGAACTGAATAACACAGCCTCCACCCGCCACGGGGGGCTTTGTCTTTGGTAAAATCCCACCAGGTGGGACAAATTATAAGGTCCGAAGCACAACAGGAAATTGAGCAGCGTCACGACAGCCAGCCCCACAGCTCGGTGCCGCCTCTGGGTCCCGACGTGGGGCTGGGTGAGCATGATCCACACAAAACGCCAGTAGCAGAAGATGGTGACCACCATGGGGATAAAGAAAAGGACCAGACACAGCTCCAGCCGCATGGGCAGCACCACCTCCAGCTGCTGTTGGGTGAAGTTCTCATAGCAGGTTATTTCGTTTCTATTTCCAACCTGCTGGGTTGAGTTCAAGTACTGAACAACGATCACGACAGTGCAGTGACCAAACGACACGATCCAGGCCACCAGAGCAGCGATCACCCCATATAGGGGCCTACGGGAGAGCTTGTACTGCACGGGGAAGGCGACGCCCAGGTAGCGCTCGATGCTGATCCCGGCCAGCAGCCACGTGCTGCAGTAAATGCTACTGTAGAAGCCAAAGCCCGTGAGGGCGCAGACGATCTGAGGCAGGTACCAGCGGAAGTTGGACGCAGCCTCGATGATCCTGAAGGGCAGCAGCAGCAGCAGCAGCAGATCCGCCAGGGTCAGGCTGAGCAGGAGGATGTGCACGGGTGCAGGCTGGGGCTGGCGGACCCGCTCCACGAAGGCACGCAGGGCCAAGAGGTTGGCAGGGAGGCCAGTGAGGAAGATGAAGATATAGGCGATGAGGATCAGGGAGCTGTGCCAGTCGGGCATCATTCTGCAGGAGGATGCAAAAGAGCAGTGTCAGGAGGCCCCACTCAGCCTGTGGCCCCTCTGCTTCTGGTTCAGAATGTGCACATTCTCCCTGGCACTCTCCTATTCTCAGGCCAAAGCTGTCTGCTGCCACCACTGCTTGCTGACGCCACCTGCCAGAACTGCCCAGAGCAATTATTGACTTTGCCTTGGGCGGGATATTAGGCAGCCCTTATTACCTTTGCCATCCTGTGTCGCTGGGGGAGACCAACCCTTGGCTTCCGAAGGGAATTTCCCCTCCCACCATCCCCGGACATATAGGAAGTTGCTGTTTACAGCTCCACTGAAGGCCTTTCTCAGTGAGAGCTGGGGAGAGGAAGGCATAGCAGCCAGGAGAGTGCAGGAAGGTGCATCCCAGGACAAGGAGGCTTCCAGAACACGAAGCCTCAGGCTGGCTCAGAGCCCAGATCCCCACTTTTTGTCCTCCTCTTTTGCAGAACATGGATTTTCCTCCACCCTGTTCACTTGTCCAACTCTGGGACTCTACTGAAAAGAGGAAACTCGACAGCACAGAGCAGGGGCAGAGCGGAAGGAAGGGCAAGCCAGCACTGTGCCATAGGGACTGTCCCCAAGACAGATATTCAGAAAACCCTCAGGCTATGACTGTCTCCTCAGTCTGTGCTTTACTCTAAATGGAGCGCTTCTTCAGGGAGTGACTCAGTTTCCACTTGGCTGATGACCCATGCTGCCCACACAGCCTTGCCCCTCTGTCCTTTCTTGATTCCCTGGGCCGTGGTACCTTGCCCCACACATTGGCATCTGCACCTGGTTCTGAGCCTCACACTCAGTTTCTGACAGACTTCCTCCAGCCCCAACACCTTCCCCTCAAATTCAGGTCCTGGCATTTCATCCCAGGGCACACACACTGTGCTAGCTGCCTTGCCTTCTCTTCGTTCCTGACAGGTGGCTTCTTGGCTAGGTCCTGAAGGGAAGTCTGGAGGCTCCGAGGAGAAGGAACACAGCTTTAGCTATTGCTGCTGTCCATCTTACACAGGAAAAAATTGTCTGGGACCTGGCTGGTGGGAAGCTTTTATATCAGCCCTGGTCATGTGACCAGCGAGAGGAAGGTCAGTAACAGCACTATTTCCTCTCAAATCCAAAGCAAAGGCTCTGCGTCTCTCTTCTCTCCCTGGAGATCCCCATTTTGACTTCCAAATCCAGATTTCTTTTCTGTCCCTACTTCCTGTTTTTTGGCTTTTTTTTTAAAAACCCAGACAGATTTTCCCCACTTCCCAAGACAGATTTGAGTCTCTGTCAATACCTAGAATGTCAATTTCATTCTCCTGTTTCCTTTTATTTTATGATCTTCTAATTTCTATATGGTCTCCTGTTCTCCACCCCAACAAGTTCCCTTCCACCTCCCAGCTGGAACAGATTGGCTCTTCCTTTCTTGTGTCTTGTTTGGACATAGCGTGGGATTTTAGGGTTGTGCAGATGTGAGCTCAAATCCAAGTCTCTTCGCTGGGACTTTGGGGCAGATCAATTTTCTGAACTTTCGTTTCCTTTTCCAAGTGAACCTGGGAACACTGACATTGCAGGGTTTCTGGGTGATTCTAGGAGCTCGCAGAAAGAGAGCATATGGCCAGAGCCCTTGCAGATGACTTGATAGATACCGGTGAGTGTTTCCTGCTCACAAGCCCGTCAGGCAGCTTCGTAGACAGTAAGGCACTCAGCAAAATATTTGGAGGCACAGGGCACAGCTGTGCCATCTCACTTGGGAAAGTGTCAGGAATCCAGGAGGCCCAAGTTTAGGTACCCTGTCTTTTTTTTTTGTTGTTCTGAGGACTGAACTCAGGGTCTTGTGCTTGGTACGGAAGCACTTGAGCCATGTCCCCTGTCCTTTTGCTTTTAGTTTCTTTTTCAGAAAGGGTATCACACTACCTTTGCCTGGGCTGGTGAACAGTGATTCTCCTACCTCCACCTCCTGAGTACCTGGGACAACAAGAATGTGCTACCATGCCTGGGCTCAGCTCCATTCTTTTCTCCCATGTATTTCTTCTTTCTTGAACTGAATCACTTTTGTTTTCTCTCTCTCCTCCTCCTTGATCCGTGTAGCTCCAGGTTAGAGGCTCTTAAAGTACTTTTGAAATACACACCTGAGGAAACAAGGATGGTCAGGACATGTTTTCCCCTTTGAGTTTCTTTCTTTCTTTTCTTTTCCTTCTTTCCTTCCTTCCTTCCTTCCTTCCCTCCCTCCTCTCTCTCTTCTCTCTCTCTCTCTCTCTCTCTCTTTCTTCTTTCTTGTCCTGGGAATGGAGTCAAGGGTCTCATGCATGTTAGGCAAACACTATAGCATTGAGCTATGTTCCTAGCCTCCGTGCTTCCCTCTTGACTCAGGGAACGAGTCTCTGCTTTCTCATTGGCGTCTGCTCCCTGCTCACAGAAGCCCTTTTCTTTCCCTGGGATGTACCTGTTCCCTAGTGACTTTCCCTTCATTCATTCTCTGTGTGACCTAGGACCCCGTGGTCCAGACAGTTTGATGTTTAGCCTTTTGTTCTCTACAGCATAGTTCTCCTCTAGCATAAAGAAGCTCTGTGTCTCCATTTATTTCCTTCCCTAGTACACATAAGGCATTCCCATATAAATGAGAACTAAGGAAGAGACCTGTTGCTTGCTATCAAATTTATTTGTGTCATTTTGCTTTTATGACTTTCCATAAATATTCACCAAGATTTAATTACAAACTGTAAGTTTACTGGAAAACAAGCATTTAGAGCAGGTCTGCTTCTTCTTCTTTTTCTTCCTCTTTTTCTTTTCCTCCTTCTCTTTCTCCTCCTTCTTCTCTGGTACTGGGTATTTGAATTCAGGGCCTCACACTCACTGGGCAAACACGATACCCCTTAAGCCATACTCCTAGCCCTGTTTTTCTTTAGTTATTTTTCAGATAGGTTCTTGCCTTTTTGCCCTGGACTGGCCTTGCACTATGATCCTGCTACTTCTGCCTCCTGAGTAGCTGGGATTACAGACACATTTCACCATGCTCAGCTTGTTCCTTGGGATAAGGTTCTACTATTTCTATTTATTTATCTATTTTTTGGCTTGGGTTAAGCTTGAACGTGGATCCTCCTTATCTGTACCTCTCAAGTAGCTGGGATTGCAGGTGTGAGCCACCATGCCCAGCTTCATGGCTGCCTCTTGATCTCCCCACACTCTCCCCCACTCTCCTCATGCCTCTCTCTGTCTGGCTGTGGGTGTGGCCCTCACAGTTCGCTATGTTCCCTCTGTGCTGAGGGGTCTCAGGCCACAGCCCCCAGACCTAACAGAGGAGGACGCAAGGACCAGGCAAGAAGTGTCTGAGTGGTCAGGTTTCTTTCCACTTTCCCTAGAAACACAAAGGTGCCATGACCTTTGACCCCAGTCTCCCAGGATCCAGGCAGGTCTCACTTTTGCACAGTGTGGCTCTTGTTCTACCGCCAGCTCCCAGACGTGTTGCTCTTTCCTCCCTCTTTCCCTCCCTCCCTGTCTCTACAAACATTTTGGAACCACAGGGCTAGAGGGAAAATACCCGTCACACTTCCTTCTACCCAGTCTATGCTGTCTGTTAGCTTTCAGGGTTTGCATGAGCATTTAAAGGAATTGGATTTGATTGTGAGACAGAACTGAGAGCTTGGGAGGACTTCTCTTCTAGTTCTAGATCCCAGAGAGGTTTTCTGACCCTTTCCCTCCTCCCCGGACCCTCTTTTCCATCTGCTGTCCATGCAAAGTTGACCTTCAGACCAGGAATGGATGAAAGAGCCCCACCCCCTAAACACGCATGGTTTTCAGGCCCGACCACCAGGTGACTTTCATGGGCTCACACCACCCTTGGCAAAGGGCAGAAGGCAGGTAGCTGGTTGTTCTCTGGGCTGCCTTTCAGCCTTGACCTTGACACCAAGGAGAGATTCTGGATGTGGAGTGACACAGATTCCCTGAGTAGAGCTTGGTGTGCTGGCAGCTATGTGATGGCTGAGCCTGTGAAAGGTGAGCTGAACAGGGGGCAGAACTGGTCTCTCTACTTTCCTTTTCCTAAGCCTAGCCTTCTTTCTGTTTTCCTCCTCTTGCCTGCTCCTGTCACACATGTGACTCATCTTCCCCAGCAGCAACACTGTGTATGTGTGTGTGTGTGTCTTGGAGACAGATGGTAGTCCCTGTGGCTTAAAGATGCTGGGAAATTTGCCACGAGAGGGAAGAGCCCTGATTTTCTTAATGCAAAATAGAAAGTAAGGTTTGTGTTGGTCAGAAAAGTTGAGATGAACCAAAATCCTCTCTGTGGAACCATCCTGCCCAGCCCTGTCCATGGAGAGTAGGTCACATCCCATAGTCCAGACAATTAGCAAGAGAAAGAGAGAGCTCAAGCAGTAAGAGCACCTGTCTAGCAAGCTGTAGACCCTGAGTTCAAACTCCAATGCCACCAAAATAATAATAATAATAAAAAGAGAGAGAGAAGGTAGGATGGGAGCATCTAGATGAAGTTTTTGTTTGTTTGTTTGCAGTACTGGGATTTTGAACTCAGGACCTCCACTGGAGCCACGACCCCAGTCCTTTTGCTTTTTAGCTTACTTTTCAGGTAGGGTCCTGTGCTAACTTTGCCTGGGTTGGTCTTGAACTATGATCCTCCTACCTCCACCTCCTGAGTAATTGGAACCACAGGTGTGCTCCACTGTACCTGGCACTTATTTTGGAGGTTTTTTTGGGGGAGATTCCTATTTATTTCTTGGTCCCTTGCTATGCCATGAACTCAAGCACAGTATCTTTAGAGGTTTTTGCCATAGGTAAAGAAAAAAGTCACCTATTTCAGCTAGGGATTGTCAACTGTGCCTGAAAACCAGGCTTAAACACATATTTATTTTTCTCTTGTGACATGAAGGAAACAGGAAGCCCCAGGCAAGTGCACCTGTTTAAGAATTGTCATCCAAACCTGTCTCCCTTTGGCCTTCTCCCACTCTAGATTTTGATTTTTGCTTCATAGTCATAAGCACCTACAT